CAACACAATGATTGTGAAATTCTCCATTTTCTTGCGTGTGGCTCTAGTCATTAATTTTCACTGCACAAAATTCCATTGTATAATTATACCTATTTATCCATTCTATATTGATGGACATGGTTTTTCCAATTTTTGGCTATTACGAATCTTGTTACTATGCACATGTCCCTTGAGCATATGTGCATGAATTTCTATTGGGAATATATTAAGAGCTGAATTGCCTTATCTTGACCTTCAGTGTTACAAGTACCTATTTCTGATACTGTATTTCTAATAAAAAGCTGTAAGAAAGAAAACATGGCTTAGAATGTCAGGTATAGAGTGGTACCAACTTCCCTATTAATTTCATAAACTTACTTAACTTCAGCTAAAGGGATTTTTATTTCCTTCTACTCACCTGCTATTCTCTCTGGAAGAGTCTTCCCTCCCCTCTCTGCCTAGTTAACTTTCACTTAAGATTTCAGTTTAGGCATCACTGACTCAGGAAAGGCTTTTCTCATCTAATACCTCCAACTATACTCTCTTGCCACCACAAACCTCTCTCATCATCTGCTACAATTGTTGTACAATTTGTGAAACTAATTAGCTATTCCTGCACTTAGCACAATATCAGGCTCATAGAAAGTGGTCAATAAATACTTGATGATATTCTCTCTTCCCATTCAGGGTACCCAATTCAAATGCTGTTTCTTCTGAATATTTCATTCTTGGAGCCACTACCAGTGCCATTATTTGAAAATGAGTCTGTATTATATGGTCAACAGGCACATGGAAAGATGTTCCACATTGCTAATCATCAGGGAAATGCAAATCAAAACTACCATGAGATACCATCTCACACCAGTTAGAATACCCACTATCCAAAAGACAAGAAATAACAAGTGCTGGCAAGGATGTGGAGAAATGGGAACCCTCTACACTATTGTTGGGAATGTAAATTGGTACAGCCACTATGAAAAGCAGTATGGAGGTTCATCAAAAACTAAAACTACAAATACCACACAACTCAGTAATTCCACTTCTAGGAATTTACCCAAGGAAAACAAAATCTCTGATTCCAAAAGATATATGCACTCCTTTGTTTACTGCCGCATTATTTACAATAGCCAAGCTATGGAAGCAACCTAAGTGTCCATCAATAGATGAATAAATAAAAAATATGTGGTACATATACACAAAATATTATTCATCCATTAAAAAAAGAAAGAAATCCTGCTATTTTCAACAACATGGATGGACCCAGAGGTATTATGCTCAGTGAAATAAGCCAGATAGAGAAAAACAAATACCATATGATTTCACTTATTTGTAGAATATAAAAACAAAGCAAAGCAAAATGAACAAAATAGCACTAGACACACAGACACTGAGAAGTGTCTGGTGGTTACCATAGGGGAGGAGTTAGGGTAGGTGGAGAGGGCGAGGGGGATAAAGTGGCATAAAAATTCTCAATCATAATATAAGTTGGTCATGGCGATGGTAGTACAGCATGGAGACCATAGCCAATGATTCTGTAATATCTTTCTATGTTGACAGATAGTAACCACACTAGTGGGGGTGAGGATTTAATAATGTGAGTAACTGCTGAACCACTGTATTATATACTTGAACCCAATATAAGGTTGTATATCAACTATAATTCAATTTCAAAAAAAATTAAAAAATAAATCTGTATTAGGCAGAAAATTTTCCTAAGCTCCATTTGGCAAATAAGATTGAATATGAGGGACTTAGCATGTAGACCCATCATCATGAACAAGAATATTTTTACTTACTGTTTCTGAGAAGAAATTATAATTATCATAAAGAGTAATTCTATATAACAATGATAAAACCTATGTGTTATTTCATTATCAAATGATACACATATATAAGTGATACTTTACATAGCAATTGATGAATTCCACAAAAGTGAGTAGGAACATTATAAAACTGAAAATATATAATTTCAAAAACTTATATTCAATGATAAGTGGTCATTATGAAAATAGTAGCAATCCACTTTTGTATTACCTTTTTCTCTTTATCACCAGATGACAAATTTCTTCCACAACCAGTCATTCTATATCATTTCATTTGATCCTTCACTTTGGTAAGCTTTCTTTGCTTGTTTAGCTTTTAATAAAAATTGTTTAGAGGCAACCATTATAGAAAAAAGTTTCTATTCTCACTAAACCTAATTTACTTATATTTCAAGTGTTAATTAAACGAAATTATTACATGTAGGAAAGCTTACTACCCCCACCAAGTATTAATAACCTTTATATGCTCCAATTACAAGTTAAATTCCACATATTTTATAAAAATTTTTTCATATTAACATTTAACTTAAAAATATCTCAGTGATAGCATTAGTATACCACTGTTCAGGAGGATGTAGAAGGATATTTTTCAAGCACTTGAAAACTGTAAATGAAATACCTTCGAAGTACAAACAACTTGCGGATATCTTGCTGAAAGGTAGAAAAGTTGAAAGTGGAGTTACTACTGATACAAAATGTAAAGTGGGAAATTATTTTACTACTGCCATCTTAATCATCCCTATGTTAAATTAACTCCCAAACTGCAACCTTGGCATATCAAAAGAATTTCAAATGAGAACTCTATCCCTAAGCTTTATGTTTAATAATATATGCCTTGTACAGGGAATATTCTCTAAAACATTTCTGTTCAGACTACTACATCCCATAAAGGCAAGGTAGGGTGTAAAATTTCTATCTGTTTGTTATAAAGAAAATGTATTCACAAGTGTAACTTCTTTCAGAAAAAGCATGATTTCAAGTGCAAAGATACAAGAATGTCAATCCTTTACTGATGCCAAAGTCACAGTTTGGGATCTATTTAAAAACATTCTTAAATACACAGACTACTGCCAGGAAATGATACAAATGAGGAATACAGCACTTGTAATTCAGCTTCTAAAAAGAAATTAAAACATAATACAAGGTAAGATATATTACAAGTTCAATTAAAGAAATCATTTATGAAAGAAGATAATCAAACACTATTATTTCCTGTTATCAGAGAATTGCTGAGGGTGATTTTTAGCCCTACTTACTTCAATGACTGACATGCAATTAATTTTTTTAAACCAAGCTTAAAATCCTGTGATATATCCTTTTCAACACTCCAAGACATCCTATAGTTCCCCATGTGTGTTTTTCTTCTTTGTTGTAAATAACAAAGCAATAAAGCCAACTTGTTCAACTACAAAAAGAAAAAAATTATATACAAGATATTTTAACAAAACTCAACAAATGTGTCACAATTCCCTAAAGCCTAAAACTGGCTAAAATATGCACTAATAAAGATGTAAAAGATAATAATGATAATCTTAAAATACTAAATTAGTTTGGCTGAATGCGAAATTCTCTATTAATTTGTGGAAGTATTATTTTATTTAATTTTATTACATTGGAATTTAAAAATACTGACTAAATTTTAAACAATATTTAAACATATATCTACCTCATATTTTAAGTCAATGCAAATTTTCACTATAACTCTGTATTAGTATTTGATATTTGGGTATTTTGGAAACAACACATTATTATATATAAAAATCTTATAGAAATAAGAAAGTTTAATAATGTTCATAAAACTTAAGTCTTCCTAAGCTGTTTTTTAATGTAAAGAAAATTATAAAGACTTTGATTTTTTTAATCAAAATTTTAATTATTTTACAATTCATTTGAAAAAGACGTTTGGTTCATAATTCTTTTCTTGAGGATTAATATTCACCAGGATTAGCAAAACTGATAATATTTACAACACAACTAAAAGAGGCTATCTGGTTAGTTCAATTCTTAAAATATTAATGAACTAATAATTAAGTTGGAAATTACAATTTAAAATCAGTATGACTTAGGAAATATTAAACACTGAAGGAGAGGACATTGTTATGGTCAGCTTACCATTATTAATTAGTTTTAGCAGTACTGGATCTTGTACTCACTTACAATTCATGTTTTCAAATTGACCATCTGTTCTAACTGGTTTGTTCATTAGAACATTAAGGTGTTGAATGGTTAGAAACATTATAAATTTTATTTGTATATACCCTAAACATGGCAGCTCCCAAGATTAAATGGTATTATTTTTAAATACTTTTTTAGAACACAAATACCTAATTTTATCCAAATCATTAGGAACAGACATGATATATGAGTGAACTTCTCACTCCTCTTAAAGAAACGATAGCTTTAAAAAATTAAACCATTTTTTGATAGAGTTGGGCCTAAAATGCCCTGATAATTGTTTAGTAAAATTCTACCCCTTGGTACCAACCCCCAACCCTTTTGGAAATTTTTTGAGGATAAATATTCCAGGGTTAACATCAAATATAATAACCTGTTCTAACAAAATATTGACCTCCTGAAGTGTAATAAATGTTTATTCTACAGTTGCTGATTCTGTAGCTATAGATCCTTTCTCACTACTACATATTATTTTAGGTTCTAGAAGTTTATCCCTCTAATTTGTTTTTTCCTAAGCTTGTTTAAGAAATTCACATATGTAATTTTCCACATTATTCTGGCTCAAAGGTAGCTCCACATATTTCCTGCAGCTTAAAGTAAGTTTTTTCTTTCTTTTTTAGAAGGAGAGATGGGAAAAGGAAGAGGGATGGGCTTGGCAGCCTTGCTTATTCATAGACTTGCTTCAGTTACTGGATACTTCCTGATGAACAAGGTTGCTAAAGGAATACATACCAAGAGATGGCCACATTATATTGAGGACAGCAGCTAACTCTTCCAGCTGAGACCAAAAGGATAACACAAAAATTTGCTAATACTTATTAGGCATGTTACTTTATAGAAATAAATAAAATATTTACCTATTTTACAAAGTGAGATTAATTAAAAGTACATCTGGAGTCTATGACATTATTTGCAACAAAAATTTCACTACTTAAAATTTCTTAGTATTTCCCTTAGCAAATACTGTGCATTTGTTAAAGAATACCTGATACTTAAAATATGAAGTGAAAGAGGACGTGTTTCTAAAACAAAACACACAGCTGGGAAGCATTTTATTTTTTTCTACTTGATATAATATTGTTCAGGGCCACGAGATTTTAAAGGTCTCTTTCCAGCAGCCTTATGACTTAGGAGTACCACTTGAAAAGTTCTACTGATGCTATAAATATTACTGTTTTTCTACATATTGACAATATTAATGAATGCCATATCCATTATACCTCTTGCTCCTTTGGTCAGAAAGATAAACAGGAAGTTCAAATCAGATGTTTAGACATTCAAAAATGGTTTTTAAAAGCACACCCAAACAAACCAAATCTATACAAGCAACTGTTAAAATTAGTTTTAGTTGTTATTTTTAAGAATCCTTAACAAGGACATACCTGAATCATATATGAAATTCTAAAAATTATATACAATTTAAAAACAAATTTAAATTTATAAGTAAAAAGATTAATGGCCAAATTAAACTTTAAGCATCAGATTGACAATATCTCAATTTTTAGGCTATTCAGAAATATATTTCATGACTAATAAGAGTTATTTCATAAATATATAGGTATAAATATGTATCTACAAGATTTGTGATACAGGAGAAAACCCTTTAAAGAAAAAAAATTGCACTTTTAGATTATCAAGATGTTGTCATATTTTTCCTTCAAGTGAAATATAATTAACATTCCAGGTGCTTTTGGCACAAGTTTTTAGGTGAATATCAAAACAATTTTAAAAACACAATGCTTTTATATTTTATTCACTGGAATATGAAGAATCAAACAGAACTTAGAATTCTGACCGAAAAAATCCAGGTAACTGCAATTGCTTAATTAAATACAAAAAATATTGTTTTAAAAAGACCTGAAACCTGTCTTTACAACTGGAACACATAAAATTTTACAAGTAACAGGTTTTCTTCAGTCTTCTCATCAAAGATTCCCAGCCTACGTACATATGTAACATTGTCTCTTTCCATTCAAATACGACTTAGATCACACCCCAGTATATAAGGACAAAAAATAAATGTATAATAAAAAGATTGGATAAATCAGGAGAGGCTTTTTGGTCTTGAATTCTTCACCCACTAACAATGAAGCAGCACTGTAGGCAGCCCAAAACACACCAAACAGCTTAAAAAACAAACAAAAAAGACAAAAGGCGGCATATTAGCAAGTCAATTAACATGTTGATTATAGAGTAAAAATAACATTTACAGTATTTTTTTAAAACAAGCCTGAGAACCAATTGTGGTACACAGTTAAACTTACTAAGAATGTTTACAACTTATTAAGAATGTTCATCCTTGCTCTGCTCCCTTGTCTTCTACAAATGAAATTGTTCATTTATTACAAGCTTGTTTCATACTAAAAATCACCTGGGGTGCCTATTAAAAAGAGAATCCTGGGAATCACTCTAGTTCTGCAGAATTAGAATCTCTAAGGGAAGGGTCTTAGTCTTTTTCAATAAGTGTCCCTAGTGATTAAAGATAAGGAAGTTTTGGAAAAACTATTTTTGGGCCAAGTTGCTGCAAGAAATTTAACTACCAATGATCCTTACAAAGTAGAAATTTTTCCTTATATTCCTTCTTAGTAGGAAAACAGATTAGGTGAAAAATTTACACAATGTTTATTAAGTATCACAGCATTTCCCTAGGAATTCACAGAAGTACAGAGTTAAATAAAAAGAAGAAAAAAGCTTAACATTCGGTCAAGTTTAATTAAATAAAACATACTGTGGTTTTCTGGTTACACAGATACCTAATTTTAAAGTATATCCACTGGAAATTTACGTAATACTTATTGATGTAGTTATTGAAGGCATCTTACAAAATAAAATGAAAGGAAGAACTTCAAGGGTAGAAATCAGGGAGACTATACTAGAAACAGACTTGGCACACAGCAGGGTTTTCAATCTTGCATTACTGCCATTTGGGGGCTGGGTAATTGTGGGAAGCTGTTCTGTGCACTGTGGTATGTTTAGAAGTATTCCAAACCTCTACCCACTACATCCAAGTAACATGCCCCCAACCATGGTGACAGCCAAAAATGTCTTCAGACATTCCAAAATGTCCTTGGGGGGCAAAATCATCCTCACTTGAAAACGAGCATAGAGTTTAAATATTGGCAGACTGACTGAAAATGTATTGAAATGGTCCAAATCCTACTATGCTTTTTAAACTTAAAAAAAAAAACTACAAAATATTTTAAACCTAAATTAAAGGGAAATAGATGAAATAGAATTTTGATCAAATTGCATTTGTCTATCACGATTAAATTTTTTTTATAAATAAGTGGTTAAACATTGGTAGGAGTTAGAGATTCAGTGTTAAAAAAGCTAGTCCTTGTTCATTAAATTTCATTCTAATGCCAGAGTTAAATGATGAGTTTTGCAACACATTTCTCAACCAACTTTGAACTGAAAGAAGAAACATAGCTCAATATACACAGATTAAGCCATTAGGGAAAAAATTCTGGCAAAGAAAAACCTGAGGCTTAACAATTTTATCCTAAATGTTTAATAATATATAAAGACTTTTCTATTTTATAGTTACACACTCATACTTTGCATAAATAATAATAAGGACCAATTTTCAGTTGAACTCAATGACTAAAAATGACCAAAGTATGCAGTTTTAGCAGTTTGGGAGTAGTCTCTGAAGTATTCAAACAGGCTTTAACCCAAGTAAAACAACACACAAGCAGGAAGTGATCCTGAATGATTCACTAAAGTGGTATGTTTACTAAAGCTAGATTATTAAATGCCAGTATGGGGCTAGCCTTCCACAATGCAAGACTGTTAAACTAAGTGCTAATAATAATGATGAAAAATTAAAGATTTTAGGGTAATGATGTTGAGGATGGAAAGATCATCTTGGTATCTAAAATGTTCCAACAGTTCAAATATACAAAGAAGCTCTCAAAATATTTTTTTATTATACCTGTAATAATAACAGGCACTGTACTAGGCATTATATATGCTTCTAAACTGTCATTAACATACATAAAAAGTAGTTATTAAGATTTCCATCTTGCACAGAAGGGTAAGACAGAAATCTCCCCAAGGCAGACATTAAATAAGGGGCAGAATCAGCATCTGAATTCAGAACAGAGTGGTTCCAAAATCTACACTCTTCTCAATACCCAATGGTTACATGTCACTATTAGCTTGTCATTACCCAATTCTCAAAGGAATTATTTATTTTATATTGAAATTAGTAATGAACTTTAAATAAAATCAGAAGTCATAAAAATTAAGTGGCTCTACTTAAAAACAAATACTTTAGTATGGGGGTAATATATGGCAGTTTTGAAAAGTAGTGGTCTTAAAAAGTTCTATTTTTTATAAAGAAAAAAAAACATAAAAACTACAGTCAGTATGTAATATATATACATACTAAAGCATTACCCAAAGTTCTTCAAAATTAATAAATGCCAAATTTTAAGTTACATTATAACTTATTAATACTTAATATCATAAGTAAATGTTTAAGATGGGTACATGTTAATGTAACAATATGGCACAAAGTAGTCCTGATCTCTGCAATATAGAAAAGCCAATTTATTAGAACCATGTTTACCATATTTGCTAAGGAAGTTACTATTCAAATAGGAATAAGTGGAATTTTAAATAAATTATCTCCCACAAAATTTAAGTCAGATGAACTCATAAGCATAGAGAAGAAAAATTCAACATTAAAAAATTCTGAATGTACACTACGTAAGAACTTGTTCACCATGTAAGAACTTGTTCGTTATGCTTCAGAAGATTGGAGACTGACGAGAATTAGGCTTGGGGTGGATTAATGATTGTACATTGAGCATTGAGTCCCCTATACAGAATTTTATTGTTGTTAACAACCATTTGATCAATAAATATGAGAGATGCCCTCTCAAAAAAAAAAAAAATTCTGAATGTAATATCCTGAGGCCTGATTTGCCCTTTATTCTTTATTCCCTGCTAAACATACGTTACAGGGATTAAAACAGGAAAATGAAAGAAATACAACTGGTAAAACCAATTAGTAAGGTCACTGTTCCAAAAAGCTACAGATGACAATATTCTTAGCCAAAGAACTAGTACATTTTTGTTACTGGAAAATAGTAAATGACTTTTTGTAATACATACTACTTACTTTTATAAGTGTAGAGACCACTTCAAATGACCCAACCACCAGAACTACAGGGGCTATTACAATGAGAGGAAGTAATGAATATCCTATAACTCCAAGAACTTGTCCATATGCAACCTGTGAATTTTCAAAATTTTAAATAAATATCATAGAAATCAAGATAGTTAATTTAATCACTACTGATCATGATATATTCTTTGTTGTACTTACATCAACATGAGAATTAAGAAGAAATCATGAAGTACCATAATCACTGCATTTCAAATTATCACAGTCTTCTATGTTCCTGGACAGACTCACCAACCACCATGGTTTCAATTACAATCAATTTTCTTATGATACCCAAACCAACACTTCTAGCCCCTCTCTCCCTTTTGAGCTTCAGACTTATATATCCAATAACTTTCAGAATATCTCTACAGTATACTTTGTCATTACTTCTCTTAAATTGTAGGAGGATTATATAAAGAGACCAAAGCCTCTTAATCAGATGAAAATTTCAAGATCTAGAAAAGCTAGATTGACAAATACAAACTTAGAAGGGAAGGGAGGTCAGACAATAGAGACTAAAGAGAAAAATATTTTTAGTGGCAGCATGGCAAACTCTGTAATAGCACTTCACATATTATAAAGATCAAATGCAGTGACAACCCTCTGAAGTAGGTAGTATTGTCACCATTATGAAGAAACTGATCATAGACAAAGCGTTTTGTTCAGGAAAAAAGCAAAGCTGGTAGGTGACAGAGTTCAAATTAAGATCTAGGTCTCTTAACTCCTGTATCAGCAGTCCTAAATAACCAAAATATTTAGTGATATCTATTTTCACATAAATATTATATGAGGTTTTCTGTAGGATATAAGAAATAATATGTGGACAAGTGTAATTTTATCTCTATTAGAATTATTTTATATTTCCATATGCAGAGTAAAAAAGTTTTATAGATAAACTTTATTCTGAATTTATTCAAGGGTTTTAAGTTAAGATGATGGGTTGAGCACATATGTCTAATATCATTCCCTCTTGAAACTCCACTAAAAGGGAAAGGAAGAAACTCCTTTCTATAAGAGGCATAAATAGAAGAAGAGAAGACAGCACAGCAGCAACGTTAGTTTGGAAGCTGGAAAGCAGGTCAACAAGACTGCTTCCCACCAAGTGTGAGAAAATGGATCCAAGTTTCTGCATTTAGTATTCAATGTTCATAGCATCAACATCCACATCATAACTCTGTCTGGCATTCCCTCTGCTTTATTCTCTCTTCAGAATTCCTAAACTTATAGTAATTCATGAAGTCTTATTTAATGAGGCAGTGGTTCTCCAGGTGTGACCCATAGAAACCTGGGACAGGGGAGGGTCCCAGAGACTCTTCTAGAAGACCAAAAGGTTGAAACTATTTTTCATAATAGCAAGAAAGCATTATTTGCCTTTTCCATTGGGTTGATATTGGTACTAATAGGGCAAAAGCACTGGTGAGTAAAATGTGCTGCTTAGCATGAATCAAGATGGCACAAACTGAACTAGTAGTTACAGTGTTTTTTTACTACCAGTCACAAAAAAAGAAGAGAAAAAAGCCAATTTAACTGAAGAATATCTTTAATGAAGCAGTTAAAATGATTAATTTTATTAAACCTCAACCTTTGAGTATGTCTTTTAAATAATCTGCATAACAAAATGGGAAGTACATAGAAAGCATATCTGCTGTATCCTGTTTCAATGGTTAGCCTAAGGAAGAGCTAACTGAGCAGAGAGAGATGTTTTTCCCATGGAATACCATTTTTAATTGAAAGAACAACTGAAAGACAAACTATGGTTATTTAGGGTTGGGTATCTGCAAGCATGTTCTTAAAAATGAATGAAGTGAGCATATTGTTTCAAGGAAAACAACTGACAGTATTTGGTGCAAATGATAAAACTGTTTCAAGCAAAAATTAGGCTTTGAAAACTTGCATCCATCTCTATAAGCTTGACAGTTTTCTAAAACAGACTTTTCTGATGAGATGGGTAATGTTATTAATGTAATCTTCAGATATTGTGTAATAAAACACATCAACATTTGGAAGATCTGCAAAAGTCAGTAAACCAATATTTTCCACATGACCATTCAAAGGTAGAAAAACCTATCCAAAGTGAGTATGAAAAGTTCATGGATAGGGTCTGAGATTCCTCACTGAAACAAACCTTTAAGAAACTATTACTTGTTGAATGTTGGTGAGAAGAATATCCACAATTATCTAAAAAGGTTATTAAAACACTCTTCCACTTATATATCTGTGAAGCCTTATATTTTTACATACTTTAAACCAGAGCAATATATCATAACAGATTGATGCAGAAAGCAGATATCAGAATCCGATTTCCACTAAGCCAGACATTAAAGCTACTTGCAAAAACGTAAAACAATGCCACTCTTCTCACTTTTTGTTTTGAAAAAGTTATTTTTCTTCAAAATATTATTTATGTTAAAATGTATCTGTTTTATTTATGAATAAACACTTAAAATTTTTATTTTAATTTCTGGCATGGTAAATATTGATAAATGTAACCTACATAAAGAAATTTCTTTGTGGACCTGAAATCAAGAAGTCTGAGAACTGCTATAATGGAGAGTATGTTGTATGCTTCCCTAAAAAGCTATAAAGTACTTATTTACAGAAAAGGGATGGCACCTTTTCTTTCCTATTCATTTCTTGTAAAATTTATTGAGTATGCACAATACTAATATGTTGATCACCCTAAAGGAAGCATAACTTAAAAGCATTTCTGAAACAAGAAACAGTTATGATGACTATAGTTACTGGTGGTATCTGTAGCATCAAAAATAAAGTTTACCATAAAAAACAAAGGCTGTTTTCAAAATTAACTACTTACTTCTCCACCAAGAACTCTGGCCAGTAAGAAAATTGTTAGTGAACCAAATATCCAAATGGTTATAATCCATGAGACCACCTTAAGGGAAACAAAAATTCATGCAATTAATATCTTTGTACCAAAGAAGCTTTGTACCAGTATCTCAATTCTCTACATAAAATAGTCTGGTTTACCCAATTTCAGGTCACAGATAGTTTGTTTCAGTTCCCAGGTGTCTTTCCAAAACTTGGTAAGAATAACATGTGTAATACAATTTTATATCCAAATCAAAAATTTAGCAATGATCAATTGCCTAAGGAAACCTCAGTATTTCAAGATTTATAATAAACTACTGCAAAAAGAGAAAAAAGTGTTTACTCCCAACTCCCTAGTTTATAGCATCCTGCAAGGAGAATTCATCCCTGAAAACACATTACCAATCTTCTCAGGAGGTCTTTAAAATTTACATTAATTACAAATTATGGAGTGTGGAAGATATTTCAGACAGTTTAAACTTCTGAGACTTGGTGCAATAATGATATATGCATATATTTTCAAGTTCTGTCTGCTTGGAGGGTCTAGAAATAATGGCATCCCAGTAGCAACATAAGCACATTTACTGCCCAGATCCTGGTTTCTAAATATCATTCCCCCAAAAAAGGAACTAGGATTGCTGTGAGAAATGACTGATTCCAGTGTTGAGGCAGGGAAAATAAAAGATGAGCCCAGAACACTTTGTAGAGTTAGAAGGAAAGGAAGTGCTCAAAAAAAAAAAAAGAGAGAATATGTGAAAAAGACACAGAAATTAACCTGAAGGAGCCCCCAATGGCTAAAACTGGAACAATCTGAGCAATAAATGATAGGACTGGATTATAGTCCAGAAAATAAATGTCCATAAATAAATAAATGAGTAAGTAATGGTGAAGAAGAGGTAGCTGTTCCATAGAGAACAGCAATTAATACATGCAGAAGGAAATGAGGAAAATAGAAAATCACCATTCAGAAAACAGTATAGTAATAATTGTTGCTTGTGAATTCCATCAAAAGATGCTAAAATTAGTGTGCTAAGATTTGATGAGAAACAGGATGTTTGCATTAGTTACAAAGTTATCTCCACAAGATATTTATTAACTAAAAAAGGAAAATAACAACTTCATAGTGGAGGAATTGGACAGACACCACCCCATCACCTAATCAAGTGATCAACATTACTAGCACCAGTATTAAGACATAAATATCATGTACTCCCTGATATTATACAAAGATGGGCACAATGTCACTTCTCTGGTATTCTTGCCAAAAAAGCACGACCCCAATCCAGTCATTAAGCAAAGCCAAATTGAGTAACATTCTACAAGGGTAGTAATCTTTTTAGCCTTAGAACCCAGTGTTCAAATGAATGATTATACAAAACAGATTTTAGAGATGTTTTAGAGGGAGAACTGGTGGTGGGTGGAAGACCACAGCACCCAGTCAACTATTTCCACGTCCTTACACTTCAAGAGAATACCTGATACAGATTACTGATCTAAGGTAAATATTAATAGGACTAATGTTAAGGATCTTGCTAAAGGGAGATTATTCTGGATTATCTGGAATAGTATTAAATGCAGTCACAACTGTCCCTAAAAAATGAGACAGAGGAAGATTTGGGTACAGTAGAGAATATGACAATGTGACCATGGAAACAGAGTTTGCAGTGATGCAGCCAGAAGCCAAGGAGTGCTGGCAGCCTCTAGACATCAGAAGAGGCAAGAACAGATGCTGCTCGGCAGCCTCCAGAGAACCAGCCCTGCTGATATTTTGATTTTAGCTCTTTCACACTTACTTTGAATTTCTGACCTCCAAAACTATAAAAGAATAAATCTGCATTGTTTTTAAGTCACTAAATTTGTGGAAACTTGATTCGCTACTGCAGCAACTGGAAACGAATTAATTTCCAAATCACTGTGTGGTAAAGAGTTATTTTTTACTCCATGAAAGCCTTACACTGGGGATGAAGGAATGGTTGTGTATGTTGTGTTCTGATGATAAAGATAAAGCCCCTGTGTGCAGGATAAAGTATTATATAAAAACAAATACTAATGGAATCCTGGTCATCATTTATTAAAATGTTTATTTAAAAAACAGAACTAAAAATGAGTAAGAAATACAAATATAATTATGAATACTATATTTAAAACTCTTTATCCTGAGAGGACATCAGAAAGGGCATAGGCAGTCCTTTTGGTCACATCTGAAGCAGGCCCATCCATTTACCCAGTTGCCATACAAAAACTAATACTTTCTGTGTGAATGATGATATGGAGAAGTTTGGAAAGCATCAACCTAAGGCACTCCCCACTTACTTAATTAAGAACAGTTCTAGGGACAAACAAGTGAGAAATAATAGGTAAAGATAAAGCATTTTCCAAATATAGTACTACAGTTTATATTTAGCTATTTTTTTAAGACTCTTAAAGTATTTAGAATTTGTATAAAGTAAGATGTACTTACCCTAAATTGTCCATATAATGATATCATGGAAAAGAAAAGAACAACAGCCAGAGGACCCCAAAAGTCAGGATTGTCTCTCACCACTTGTCTATTAAAACCAAGCGATGGCATTGGCATCAAAACACATCGGATTTTATAGTAAATATCCTTTAGATCGATATCCAATTCCTCCCTATGATTTTAAAATAAAAATTCTTAAAAGTCACACACTTATGAATAATGAAGACAGTTAAAATAAAATTTAAGAAAAGATTAAATATGATGATGAAGTCTCCACAGGTTAACAAAACATTTGCATTTCTGGTCCCATATTTTCAAGGTATACATTTTCAACATTTCAACATCTCTAAAGTTGGGACTCATCTCACAATCACTGGTGTCTTAGAATTGCTGTCAGCCTGAAATGAAGCCAAGTGCTTCCAAGGTCTGCCTTTCCTTATGCCAGTCTCCTGAAGGTACTACTAATTTGAGAGAACTTTATATAAAATTCTCTGCTTGAGACTTTTTTAGACTATGCTGATAATTCAGACTGCAATCCTATATGACAACTGGTATGGGGTTTACAGTCTCAGAGGAAATTTTTCTTCCAGTAGCCCACCCAGTGTCAAATTGAAACATGCAAACTTCCATCCAGTCTCTTTTTGCATGGTAGATTGTTTCTCATTTATCCTTGAGAAATAACCCTTCGATGTCCTACCTTTATGCTGTCTTAGATACTTTTTCTTTCTTATTGATAAATGTAACATAACTGCATGTTATAATCCACAGAGTCATAGATTTGATGAAATATGGTATATTAACATTAAAAAACAGAATGTTTCACAGCAACAGACTCACAGACTCCAAGAAGGGAGTTGAGGTTACCAAAGGGAAAGGGGGTGGAAAGGGCGGGTGGGGAGGGAGGGAGAAGGGAATAAAGGGGTATTATGATCAGCACACATAATGTAGGGGGGCCATGGAGAAGGCAGTACAGCACAGAGAAGACAAGTAGTGACTCTATAGCATCTTACTACGCTGATAAACACTACGCAATGAGGTATGTGGGGGAGACGAGACCTGATAATATGGGTGAATGCAGTTACCACAATGTTGCTCATGTGAAACCTTCATAAGATTGTATATCAATGATACCTTAATAAAAAAAAAACAGATGTTTTAGCACTTGATCTACCAATAATTACTACAGAGAATAACTTGGTTTTGCCCCAATTTTACAAAATTAGATTCTTCTTTGCAAAATTGTTAACTTCTTTCATGTCCCAAATGATACGCAATCACTTAAAAGTTTTCAAGTATTATGAAGAAAGTAAAAGGCTGCCTATAGTCCTCCCAGTGGCGGCTCTAGAATTTCTATACAGGAGAGATTTTGTAGTCGTCTTTTTGGAAGTCTTAATTTGTTTTAAACTGTCCCACAGTAAGCACCCAAGCACCCTACATTTTACTTTGACTGCATGTTTACTTGAGACAGCTATAGACCCAGAGAAGTCCTAACAGTCTAGAATGTGTTTATATGATATAAGATTATGATTCTTTCAGTTTTTGCTATTCAATAGGTTAAAAATACTCTATTATTTCAGTTTTTTTAATTACTAGTAAAACTGAAAATAGCTAAAACTTTTGACCAAAAAGGTTAAGATTTTTCCATACTTTAAATAAATAATATAAAACAATATAATCATCCCATAGACTAGCTCTAAAAAAAAAGAAAAATACATTTTACTATTTTTACATACAAGAGTGGCTTGTTATCTTCAGGGTCATCATCTTCAACTTCCAAAAGCCAGCCATATCCTCTTTGTCTCAGAAAAGTAGTAGCTGTAGATTCTTTGATAAAATCTCCACCAAGGTTTAATTTGACATCAGGAGATGTTATTGAACCACTGAGATCTTAGGAGAAAAGAGGATAAAACTATAAACTAAGGAACAGTGTGTGAATCTTAACCAACATAAGCATATATTCAACTAACATCACTGTCATTTGAAGATCTCTATGAATATTTGCTAATAAATACAATCTTATATTTGATACCTTACAAGAAAATGAAAGATGAGAGAGGTGAAGACATATGAATAGTTTCACAGCTAATTAGCTAGGTTGCTACCAGATCTAGATTTATAATAGTAACTTTACAATTTAAATAGAAGATATGTACAAAATATATTCCATGAAATTATTTTGGATTCCCTTATTATATACATTATGTGCTTCAGAATAAAGTGATTATATAAATTATTTTTAAAGGCATCACGTATGTATATATACAAACCATTGAAAATAATTTATTTACTAAAGGAAAACTAGATCATTTTTCTCTACTTTTTCAAGTATTTATTCATACATTCTTTCATTTAAATTACCAAATTTCTATGCTATATGCTTCATACATTAATGCTTATTCTGGATAAGTCTGAGTTCCCTGCTATTTCAGAAAAGTCTTTTCTATATATAATTATATCAATCATCTTTAGTTTGGGCAAAATAAAGGTTTTTTTTTTTAGGTCAGCTCTAGAAAAAGAGGTTAAGAAATTCAGTTATCTACATTACAAAACAAAGTCCATTCATGGTCTGCTCAGTGACTGAGAGGTTATTCAGATAATCACAATAGTACAAATGCCACATTTGCTGGTCAAAAAAAAACTGAGAATAAGGGACTTGTTTGAGGTCATACAGGAATTAAGAAAAAGAAAACACATTTCTAAAACCAGACAATAGGAACCAGTGAACAACCATCAATGTTAACTAGAAGCCACATGTCTGAAGTGGTACTTTAGAAAACAGTTCTGGCTAATGGCTCTCCTTTCCTGGAGATCAGATACAGCATAAAAAAAAAAAGAGTTTAATTTGCACATTACTCTAAATTCCAGGATAGTTTTTGAGAAATGCCATTAAAATTTTGGCTTAAACTTCAATCTATGAATGGCTCAATTATTAATTGCACCTTACTATGGTGTGACAACTCCTGCAATTAATTATTTATAGTAAAGTTTGCATTCTGAAGCTAAGTCCTAGCTTAGCTACTAATGAATACAGCAAATCATTAATGTCTTCTGTTCCCCAGTTTCCTATTTCAAAGTTCTTTCCAGGTTTAACAGTATATGATTCTAAAAAGTTTTTATAAGGCAGTTTATTCATCTAGAGATAAAATACACAAGGACTTTTGAGTTCACTCTCTTTCCCTATTTAAAGTTTAAAAATAGTCCCTGTAGGGGGGCATGAAGGAAGTATACAGAGAAGACAAGCAGTGACTCTATAGAATCTTACTATGCTGATGGACAGTGACTGTAATGGGGTATGTGGTGGGGACTTGATAATAGAGGGCATATAATAACCACAGTGTTGCTCATGTGAAACCTGAGCATAAGATTGTATATCAATAATACCTTAATACAAATAATCATAATAATCATAAAAAAATCACTATGCTGTATACTTGAGCTACTATAATATTGTGTCAACTATATTTCAATTTAAAAAAGCTTAAAGTAGAAAAAAATTGTCCCTGTAGATGCTGTCATAGAATCTTGTGATTAAAAGTCTCTCAAAATTACTTTCTTTGTCTTAATCCAATTTGAAAATGAAAGAGTTCAAATTGAACAAAAATTCCATTTCCAATAGGTACAAACAGTGCTTTCTTTAATAAGAGCAAGATTTAGATCAGGAAGTCATTAGTACAGCAGTGATATTAAAGGTTTTGGAATTATGAAACAGGAAAGGACCTTAACAACTGTTTCTTGGCCTCTACTAAGGGCTGTACTTGAAGTTCTTAATCTAAACCAAAAAAAAGGATATATAAATTATAGTACTAAGGAACACTATGATAAAGAATTGTATATGTTTAGCAGTTTGTCATAGCATGGATGTCAGAACCTCAAAAAAGGTATCTTTAGCTTGTTATATTGTAGCACTTCCATCTCATGCAAAGTAGGAAAAAATCATAGACATATGTAGGAATGCTAGCAAGAACAGTTTGGCACATTCCCCAGTGCTCCCAAGACACAATTAGATGTGGGTACGAAAAAGCAGCAGAGAAGTCTAAAAAATTGATGGTTAGCCTACCATGTTAGCAAGTTAATAAGTAAAGAATAATGTCAGGAAAAAAAGGAAAGAGTAAAAATCACTCCAAGAGCACAGCTGGTTTTAAGTTAAATCAGCCTAAGAACCAGCCAGTTTGGTTGTCAACTCTAGCATAAATATCCGGAATTATATTATAAAACACTAATTTTTAATTAATTCTTTCCTATGACATTATTTATAACATTCTTCATTCTAAGTAAAAAACAATGTAGAGATAATAACAAATATAATTGGATTTAAAAGGAATAGTCTTCTGAAAAAAATCTACTGTAAAAGGAAACCTTAAAAATGTTTCCACTGCTTTTTGAGCTTCGAGTGAAGAATATCCATAAGTTTCAAGTTTAATTGAAAGCCGCCTGGAAAAATTGCAGAACAAAATTTAACAGTAATTCTCCCTCCCTTTCAATTCAAGTATATTACTGAATATATACTCAGGTATCCTTCCCCTGAATCTTCTACTTAGCCTGCGAACTCCACTTTGAGATGAGGAAGAACTCAGTGGAGTCTGACAATACACTCAGGATGAGATTTACTGATCTGCCCCTAAACAACTCCTAGATTTCTGTGAAGAAAATTATCCTGCAATGAACAATGAACATTTTGTTGGCACTCATCAACTTCTTAAATATGTGAAGAAGCTTTTTCTTATTTAACAAGCAATAAGAGCAAAGACAAAAATCATCTCATTTCATTTGAAAATGAAATCCACATGTCCTTAAGTCTAAGCCACAACTGAGCATTTGTGTGACAAAAAGAAAACAAGCACAAGTTTCACACTAAAGGGAAAAATTCCACTGTTCCATTTTAGTTATAAAAACATTTCAATGCACATATAGGCCCATGAAAGAGCTCAAGAAACCAATACAAGTAGAATGATTTTATAATTTTTAGACCTATACTGGAGCTTGATCATGTTACTCCATAAAAGCCTTGTATAAAAATTTATTTGTTATTCCTGTTGTTTTGATTTATGGTTTAGTAGCCTTATTATTTAATATTGTCAGTAAAATTTCATATTGTACATTATACAATGAAAATTAGTTAAATCTCCTGTGCCTACCTTTAGAAAAACTAAATCCCATTTTTGTATAAACCAGTTAACAGAAAATCTCTTTTGTCTGCCTTATGAATCTTTTAACTTTTTTTTCTGAAATAATTATACATTCACAGGAGTTACAAAAACAGAACAAAGAAGTTACATATACTCTTTATGCAGTTTCCTCCTATGGGTACCATCATATATAACTAACAAGACTAGTTAGTATAGTATATGTTGTATATACACACAATAGTATACATTGACAATGCTGTATTATTCAGATCTTACCAGTTTTCCAGCAGTTTTTTGTATGTGTGTACAGTTCTATGCAATTTTATCACATTTATAGGTTTGTGTAATGCCTTATGAGTTTAACATTTATGAAAACAAAGAAATAGATTCATTTTTTTTTAAAAAAGGTAAACCTTGCTTAACTACCTGTTTTATTCCTCCCAAGAAAGATTGGCTTAAAAGTCACTTGCAATTTTTAAATAGAGAAGAAAAGCTATTCTTGCACCAATTATGCATCATTTATCATACTCCTTAGCATACTATATAGAAGATATCTGTGATCATAACAGAGCAATATATCATAACAGATTGATGCAGAAAGCAGATATCAGAATCCGATTTCCACTAAGCCAGACATTAAAGCTACTTGCAAAAACGTAAAACAATGCCACTCTTCTCACTTTTTGTTTTGAAAAAGTTATTTTTCTTCAAAATATTATTTATGTTAAAATGTATCTGTTTTATTTATGAATAAACACTTAAAATTTTTATTTTAATTTCTGGCATGGTAAATATTGATAAATGTAACCTACATAAAGAAATTTCTTTGTGGACCTGAAATCAAGAAGTCTGAGAACTGCTATAATGGAGAGTATGTTGTATGCTTCCCTAAAAAGCTATAAAGTACTTATTTACAGAAAAGGGATGGCACCTTTTCTTTCCTATTCATTTCTTGTAAAATTTATTGAGTATGCACAATACTAATATGTTGATCACCCTAAAGGAAGCATAACTTAAAAGCATTTCTGAAACAAGAAACAGTTATGATGACTATAGTTACTGGTGGTATCTGTAGCATCAAAAATAAAGTTTACCATAAAAAACAAAGGCTGTTTTCAAAATTAACTACTTACTTCTCCACCAAGAACTCTGGCCAGTAAGAAAATTGTTAGTGAACCAAATATCCAAATGGTTATAATCCATGAGACCACCTTAAGGGAAACAAAAATTCATGCAATTAATATCTTTGTACCAAAGAAGCTTTGTACCAGTATCTCAATTCTCTACATAAAATAGTCTGGTTTACCCAATTTCAGGTCACAGATAGTTTGTTTCAGTTCCCAGGTGTCTTTCCAAAACTTGGTAAGAATAACATGTGTAATACAATTTTATATCCAAATCAAAAATTTAGCAATGATCAATTGCCTAAGGAAACCTCAGTATTTCAAGATTTATAATAAACTACTGCAAAAAGAGAAAAAAGTGTTTACTCCCAACTCCCTAGTTTATAGCATCCTGCAAGGAGAATTCATCCCTGAAAACACATTACCAATCTTCTCAGGAGGTCTTTAAAATTTACATTAATTACAAATTATGGAGTGTGGAAGATATTTCAGACAGTTTAAACTTCTGAGACTTGGTGCAATAATGATATATGCATATATTTTCAAGTTCTGTCTGCTTGGAGGGTCTAGAAATAATGGCATCCCAGTAGCAACATAAGCACATTTACTGCCCAGATCCTGGTTTCTAAATATCATTCCCCCAAAAAAGGAACTAGGATTGCTGTGAGAAATGACTGATTCCAGTGTTGAGGCAGGGAAAATAAAAGATGAGCCCAGAACACTTTGTAGAGTTAGAAGGAAAGGAAGTGCTCAAAAAAAAAAAAAGAGAGAATATGTGAAAAAGACACAGAAATTAACCTGAAGGAGCCCCCAATGGCTAAAACTGGAACAATCTGAGCAATAAATGATAGGACTGGATTATAGTCCAGAAAATAAATGTCCATAAATAAATAAATGAGTAAGTAATGGTGAAGAAGAGGTAGCTGTTCCATAGAGAACAGCAATTAATACATGCAGAAGGAAATGAGGAAAATAGAAAATCACCATTCAGAAAACAGTATAGTAATAATTGTTGCTTGTGAATTCCATCAAAAGATGCTAAAATTAGTGTGCTAAGATTTGATGAGAAACAGGATGTTTGCATTAGTTACAAAGTTATCTCCACAAGATATTTATTAACTAAAAAAGGAAAATAACAACTTCATAGTGGAGGAATTGGACAGACACCACCCCATCACCTAATCAAGTGATCAACATTACTAGCACCAGTATTAAGACATAAATATCATGTACTCCCTGATATTATACAAAGATGGGCACAATGTCACTTCTCTGGTATTCTTGCCAAAAAAGCACGACCCCAATCCAGTCATTAAGCAAAGCCAAATTGAGTAACATTCTACAAGGGTAGTAATCTTTTTAGCCTTAGAACCCAGTGTTCAAATGAATGATTATACAAAACAGATTTTAGAGATGTTTTAGAGGGAGAACTGGTGGTGGGTGGAAGACCACAGCACCCAGTCAACTATTTCCACGTCCTTACACTTCAAGAGAATACCTGATACAGATTACTGATCTAAGGTAAATATTAATAGGACTAATGTTAAGGATCTTGCTAAAGGGAGATTATTCTGGATTATCTGGAATAGTATTAAATGCAGTCACAACTGTCCCTAAAAAATGAGACAGAGGAAGATTTGGGTACAGTAGAGAATATGACAATGTGACCATGGAAACAGAGTTTGCAGTGATGCAGCCAGAAGCCAAGGAGTGCTGGCAGCCTCTAGACATCAGAAGAGGCAAGAACAGATGCTGCTCGGCAGCCTCCAGAGAACCAGCCCTGCTGATATTTTGATTTTAGCTCTTTCACACTTACTTTGAATTTCTGACCTCCAAAACTATAAAAGAATAAATCTGCATTGTTTTTAAGTCACTAAATTTGTGGAAACTTGATTCGCTACTGCAGCAACTGGAAACGAATTAATTTCCAAATCACTGTGTGGTAAAGAGTTATTTTTTACTCCATGAAAGCCTTACACTGGGGATGAAGGAATGGTTGTGTATGTTGTGTTCTGATGATAAAGATAAAGCCCCTGTGTGCAGGATAAAGTATTATATAAAAACAAATACTAATGGAATCCTGGTCATCATTTATTAAAATGTTTATTTAAAAAACAGAACTAAAAATGAGTAAGAAATACAAATATAATTATGAATACTATATTTAAAACTCTTTATCCTGAGAGGACATCAGAAAGGGCATAGGCAGTCCTTTTGGTCACATCTGAAGCAGGCCCATCCATTTACCCAGTTGCCATACAAAAACTAATACTTTCTGTGTGAATGATGATATGGAGAAGTTTGGAAAGCATCAACCTAAGGCACTCCCCACTTACTTAATTAAGAACAGTTCTAGGGACAAACAAGTGAGAAATAATAGGTAAAGATAAAGCATTTTCCAAATATAGTACTACAGTTTATATTTAGCTATTTTTTTAAGACTCTTAAAGTATTTAGAATTTGTATAAAGTAAGATGTACTTACCCTAAATTGTCCATATAATGATATCATGGAAAAGAAAAGAACAACAGCCAGAGGACCCCAAAAGTCAGGATTGTCTCTCACCACTTGTCTATTAAAACCAAGCGATGGCATTGGCATCAAAACACATCGGATTTTATAGTAAATATCCTTTAGATCGATATCCAATTCCTCCCTATGATTTTAAAATAAAAATTCTTAAAAGTCACACACTTATGAATAATGAAGACAGTTAAAATAAAATTTAAGAAAAGATTAAATATGATGATGAAGTCTCCACAGGTTAACAAAACATTTGCATTTCTGGTCCCATATTTTCAAGGTATACATTTTCAACATTTCAACATCTCTAAAGTTGGGACTCATCTCACAATCACTGGTGTCTTAGAATTGCTGTCAGCCTGAAATGAAGCCAAGTGCTTCCAAGGTCTGCCTTTCCTTATGCCAGTCTCCTGAAGGTACTACTAATTTGAGAGAACTTTATATAAAATTCTCTGCTTGAGACTTTTTTAGACTATGCTGATAATTCAGACTGCAATCCTATATGACAACTGGTATGGGGTTTACAGTCTCAGAGGAAATTTTTCTTCCAGTAGCCCACCCAGTGTCAAATTGAAACATGCAAACTTCCATCCAGTCTCTTTTTGCATGGTAGATTGTTTCTCATTTATCCTTGAGAAATAACCCTTCGATGTCCTACCTTTATGCTGTCTTAGATACTTTTTCTTTCTTATTGATAAATGTAACATAACTGCATGTTATAATCCACAGAGTCATAGATTTGATGAAATATGGTATATTAACATTAAAAAACAGAATGTTTCACAGCAACAGACTCACAGACTCCAAGAAGGGAGTTGAGGTTACCAAAGGGAAAGGGGGTGGAAAGGGCGGGTGGGGAGGGAGGGAGAAGGGAATAAAGGGGTATTATGATCAGCACACATAATGTAGGGGGGCCATGGAGAAGGCAGTACAGCACAGAGAAGACAAGTAGTGACTCTATAGCATCTTACTACGCTGATAAACACTACGCAATGAGGTATGTGGGGGAGACGAGACCTGATAATATGGGTGAATGCAGTTACCACAATGTTGCTCATGTGAAACCTTCATAAGATTGTATATCAATGATACCTTAATAAAAAAAAAACAGATGTTTTAGCACTTGATCTACCAATAATTACTACAGAGAATAACTTGGTTTTGCCCCAATTTTACAAAATTAGATTCTTCTTTGCAAAATTGTTAACTTCTTTCATGTCCCAAATGATACGCAATCACTTAAAAGTTTTCAAGTATTATGAAGAAAGTAAAAGGCTGCCTATAGTCCTCCCAGTGGCGGCTCTAGAATTTCTATACAGGAGAGATTTTGTAGTCGTCTTTTTGGAAGTCTTAATTTGTTTTAAACTGTCCCACAGTAAGCACCCAAGCACCCTACATTTTACTTTGACTGCATGTTTACTTGAGACAGCTATAGACCCAGAGAAGTCCTAACAGTCTAGAATGTGTTTATATGATATAAGATTATGATTCTTTCAGTTTTTGCTATTCAATAGGTTAAAAATACTCTATTATTTCAGTTTTTTTAATTACTAGTAAAACTGAAAATAGCTAAAACTTTTGACCAAAAAGGTTAAGATTTTTCCATACTTTAAATAAATAATATAAAACAATATAATCATCCCATAGACTAGCTCTAAAAAAAAAGAAAAATACATTTTACTATTTTTACATACAAGAGTGGCTTGTTATCTTCAGGGTCATCATCTTCAACTTCCAAAAGCCAGCCATATCCTCTTTGTCTCAGAAAAGTAGTAGCTGTAGATTCTTTGATAAAATCTCCACCAAGGTTTAATTTGACATCAGGAGATGTTATTGAACCACTGAGATCTTAGGAGAAAAGAGGATAAAACTATAAACTAAGGAACAGTGTGTGAATCTTAACCAACATAAGCATATATTCAACTAACATCACTGTCATTTGAAGATCTCTATGAATATTTGCTAATAAATACAATCTTATATTTGATACCTTACAAGAAAATGAAAGATGAGAGAGGTGAAGACATATGAATAGTTTCACAGCTAATTAGCTAGGTTGCTACCAGATCTAGATTTATAATAGTAACTTTACAATTTAAATAGAAGATATGTACAAAATATATTCCATGAAATTATTTTGGATTCCCTTATTATATACATTATGTGCTTCAGAATAAAGTGATTATATAAATTATTTTTAAAGGCATCACGTATGTATATATACAAACCATTGAAAATAATTTATTTACTAAAGGAAAACTAGATCATTTTTCTCTACTTTTTCAAGTATTTATTCATACATTCTTTCATTTAAATTACCAAATTTCTATGCTATATGCTTCATACATTAATGCTTATTCTGGATAAGTCTGAGTTCCCTGCTATTTCAGAAAAGTCTTTTCTATATATAATTATATCAATCATCTTTAGTTTGGGCAAAATAAAGGTTTTTTTTTTTAGGTCAGCTCTAGAAAAAGAGGTTAAGAAATTCAGTTATCTACATTACAAAACAAAGTCCATTCATGGTCTGCTCAGTGACTGAGAGGTTATTCAGATAATCACAATAGTACAAATGCCACATTTGCTGGTCAAAAAAAAACTGAGAATAAGGGACTTGTTTGAGGTCATACAGGAATTAAGAAAAAGAAAACACATTTCTAAAACCAGACAATAGGAACCAGTGAACAACCATCAATGTTAACTAGAAGCCACATGTCTGAAGTGGTACTTTAGAAAACAGTTCTGGCTAATGGCTCTCCTTTCCTGGAGATCAGATACAGCATAAAAAAAAAAAGAGTTTAATTTGCACATTACTCTAAATTCCAGGATAGTTTTTGAGAAATGCCATTAAAATTTTGGCTTAAACTTCAATCTATGAATGGCTCAATTATTAATTGCACCTTACTATGGTGTGACAACTCCTGCAATTAATTATTTATAGTAAAGTTTGCATTCTGAAGCTAAGTCCTAGCTTAGCTACTAATGAATACAGCAAATCATTAATGTCTTCTGTTCCCCAGTTTCCTATTTCAAAGTTCTTTCCAGGTTTAACAGTATATGATTCTAAAAAGTTTTTATAAGGCAGTTTATTCATCTAGAGATAAAATACACAAGGACTTTTGAGTTCACTCTCTTTCCCTATTTAAAGTTTAAAAATAGTCCCTGTAGGGGGGCATGAAGGAAGTATACAGAGAAGACAAGCAGTGACTCTATAGAATCTTACTATGCTGATGGACAGTGACTGTAATGGGGTATGTGGTGGGGACTTGATAATAGAGGGCATATAATAACCACAGTGTTGCTCATGTGAAACCTGAGCATAAGATTGTATATCAATAATACCTTAATACAAATAATCATAATAATCATAAAAAAATCACTATGCTGTATACTTGAGCTACTATAATATTGTGTCAACTATATTTCAATTTAAAAAAGCTTAAAGTAGAAAAAAATTGTCCCTGTAGATGCTGTCATAGAATCTTGTGATTAAAAGTCTCTCAAAATTACTTTCTTTGTCTTAATCCAATTTGAAAATGAAAGAGTTCAAATTGAACAAAAATTCCATTTCCAATAGGTACAAACAGTGCTTTCTTTAATAAGAGCAAGATTTAGATCAGGAAGTCATTAGTACAGCAGTGATATTAAAGGTTTTGGAATTATGAAACAGGAAAGGACCTTAACAACTGTTTCTTGGCCTCTACTAAGGGCTGTACTTGAAGTTCTTAATCTAAACCAAAAAAAAGGATATATAAATTATAGTACTAAGGAACACTATGATAAAGAATTGTATATGTTTAGCAGTTTGTCATAGCATGGATGTCAGAACCTCAAAAAAGGTATCTTTAGCTTGTTATATTGTAGCACTTCCATCTCATGCAAAGTAGGAAAAAATCATAGACATATGTAGGAATGCTAGCAAGAACAGTTTGGCACATTCCCCAGTGCTCCCAAGACACAATTAGATGTGGGTACGAAAAAGCAGCAGAGAAGTCTAAAAAATTGATGGTTAGCCTACCATGTTAGCAAGTTAATAAGTAAAGAATAATGTCAGGAAAAAAAGGAAAGAGTAAAAATCACTCCAAGAGCACAGCTGGTTTTAAGTTAAATCAGCCTAAGAACCAGCCAGTTTGGTTGTCAACTCTAGCATAAATATCCGGAATTATATTATAAAACACTAATTTTTAATTAATTCTTTCCTATGACATTATTTATAACATTCTTCATTCTAAGTAAAAAACAATGTAGAGATAATAACAAATATAATTGGATTTAAAAGGAATAGTCTTCTGAAAAAAATCTACTGTAAAAGGAAACCTTAAAAATGTTTCCACTGCTTTTTGAGCTTCGAGTGAAGAATATCCATAAGTTTCAAGTTTAATTGAAAGCCGCCTGGAAAAATTGCAGAACAAAATTTAACAGTAATTCTCCCTCCCTTTCAATTCAAGTATATTACTGAATATATACTCAGGTATCCTTCCCCTGAATCTTCTACTTAGCCTGCGAACTCCACTTTGAGATGAGGAAGAACTCAGTGGAGTCTGACAATACACTCAGGATGAGATTTACTGATCTGCCCCTAAACAACTCCTAGATTTCTGTGAAGAAAATTATCCTGCAATGAACAATGAACATTTTGTTGGCACTCATCAACTTCTTAAATATGTGAAGAAGCTTTTTCTTATTTAACAAGCAATAAGAGCAAAGACAAAAATCATCTCATTTCATTTGAAAATGAAATCCACATGTCCTTAAGTCTAAGCCACAACTGAGCATTTGTGTGACAAAAAGAAAACAAGCACAAGTTTCACACTAAAGGGAAAAATTCCACTGTTCCATTTTAGTTATAAAAACATTTCAATGCACATATAGGCCCATGAAAGAGCTCAAGAAACCAATACAAGTAGAATGATTTTATAATTTTTAGACCTATACTGGAGCTTGATCATGTTACTCCATAAAAGCCTTGTATAAAAATTTATTTGTTATTCCTGTTGTTTTGATTTATGGTTTAGTAGCCTTATTATTTAATATTGTCAGTAAAATTTCATATTGTACATTATACAATGAAAATTAGTTAAATCTCCTGTGCCTACCTTTAGAAAAACTAAATCCCATTTTTGTATAAACCAGTTAACAGAAAATCTCTTTTGTCTGCCTTATGAATCTTTTAACTTTTTTTTCTGAAATAATTATACATTCACAGGAGTTACAAAAACAGAACAAAGAAGTTACATATACTCTTTATGCAGTTTCCTCCTATGGGTACCATCATATATAACTAACAAGACTAGTTAGTATAGTATATGTTGTATATACACACAATAGTATACATTGACAATGCTGTATTATTCAGATCTTACCAGTTTTCCAGCAGTTTTTTGTATGTGTGTACAGTTCTATGCAATTTTATCACATTTATAGGTTTGTGTAATGCCTTATGAGTTTAACATTTATGAAAACAAAGAAATAGATTCATTTTTTTTTAAAAAAGGTAAACCTTGCTTAACTACCTGTTTTATTCCTCCCAAGAAAGATTGGCTTAAAAGTCACTTGCAATTTTTAAATAGAGAAGAAAAGCTATTCTTGCACCAATTATGCATCATTTATCATACTCCTTAGCATACTATATAGAAGATATCTGTGATCATAGATATATGGATATAATTTTTTTTAATTAAGTAGGAAAATTCTAAAAGTAAACTGAAGATTCCTCATCTATACTACTAGCTTGTACTGGAAATGATATCCTTTCTGGAAAAGTAATTTCCCACAAAGAGTAAGCTAAATGTTTGGCCACCTTAACAGATTAACAGAAAGTATCACTTACTCAAAAGAACATTGACAATAATTATTGATTATATTTACAGTTTACTGATCACAGTAATGTACTATGAATTACAGATATTGTCATTTTTATATAAGAGTATCTTAGTCTATTTGGGCTGCTATAACAAAATAACATAGTCTAGGTGGCTTATAAACAATAGAAATTTATTTCTCACAGTTTTGGAGGCTGGAAGCCCAAGATCAGAGGGTCAGCATGAACAGATAAGGGCCCCTTTCCAGCTTGCTGACTTTGTGTATCCTCACATGGCAAAAGGAAGTAGGGAGCTCTGTGTAGTCTTTTTTTTATAAGAGCAGTAATCCCACTTATGAGGACTCCACCTTCATGACCCAAGTACTTCCCAAAGTGCCTCACTCTCCCAAATAACTCACACTGGGCTTTAGTATTTCAACATATGAATTTGGGGGTGGGGGGATATGAATATTTAGATTACGACAGGGTTAAGAAAATTGAGGAAGGATGAGCTCGAAAGCAATATATTGGAACCCAGTTATCTTTTGTAGACTTATGTAATAAATTGTCAGTTTAATGTTTTCTTGAAGTATATCAAAAGCATCTAAAACTCAATATTCCAAAACAGAATTCTTGATATTGAAAGTCTTTCTTATTTCAGTAAATGGTACCACTATCCACCAGCATTATAAACAGGCAGCTTAATTATCCTTGACGGTTTCTTTCATTCTTATGCTCCCTGCTCCATCCAACCCACCACTAAATTCTATTACTTACACCCATAAATATTTTTTGAACCTGTCCACTTTTCTCATTTCTATCACCAGTGCAAACTACCACCCCCTGCCTGCATGACTATAATGGTCTCCTAACTGCTGTCTCCCTAATCATACTTGTCTCCTTCCAATCCATTCTAACTATAGCCAGGACAATCTTAAAAATGCAAATCTTTCACTCTTGCGTTTAAAATCCTTCAGTGTCCTCCCTCTGCTTTTTCAGCTCAAGTCCAACAATCTCTACACACCCTTCCTACTTCTTCAATTTTCTA